TTGCAGAGAACAGAAAATACACTTTTGGCAAGGTCAGGTTGAGACAGCCTGGTCAGTTGCACTGTGCCACTCTGGATGCCAGAGAGGGGTGGGGGGAAGATGGGCAGAAACAAGGCCAGGAGCCTCTGGCCCTGGGTTCAATCCTGCTTCAAAGCAAAAACAGGCGGGGGGGGGGGGAGAGAGAGAGAGAGAGAGAGAGAGAGATTGAAGAAGGGGGCGCTTGTTTGCATTCAGCTGGTGTGTCACGCAAATTGGGGAGGGGTCGGGAGAAAAGTGCTGCTCCAGGTGTTGGTCACCTGAGGTTGGGGAGGAAGAGAGCCAGAGGTGAACCAAGGTGCAGAAATTAGAGGTAGAAGTTGAGCCCCCCCAGATGTTGGACCTGCCCATCGTCTTCCACTGGGCGGAATTTCATGGTTTGCAGAAATTCTGGGGCCGGAGCGAATCCACCTCTGGGAAGGGAGAGCTTGCGGGGAAGTTGCAAAACGTGGAGCAGAGACATCTGGGCTTTGGTTCTCGCCTGGCCCGGGTTCTTGTTGGCAGCAGCCGGGCTTTCCCTCCTCCCGCTCCTTCCCCCACCACGCCCCATCTCCACATCTGCTCCCCTCTGCCCCTCCCTCCCTCCCTCCCTCTTCTCCTCAAATGGGGCTTCCAAGCCTGTGGTCCTCCACAGAAGGAAGGCAGAGAATATGCCCGCCTAGGGTTCCTACACCCCAATTCACTAGCCTTCCCTTCTTGGGCTTTCCAGGAAATGGCACTTGGCAAGAAGTGACAGATTTACAATATTTTCCCCTAAGCTTCGCCTCTTTGATTTCAGGGATGAGCAGGAAGTAACCATTAAAAGGGAAGAGGAAACAATTAAATAGTTCAGAACTGGGGAAAAAAAGTTTCCTGGGGTTGCATCTTACTTGCTGATTTATTTGACATAATACGCACAATGAATAATCAGAAATGCTGGACTAGAAGAAGAAGTAGGAATTGGAATTAAAATTGCTAGGAAATTCATCAACCATCTCAGATGGGAGAATGCTCCCATTTTGAGGGCTGGAAGTGAAGAATTACAGAATAATAAGAGTTGGAAGGGAGCTTGGAGGTCTGTTCAAGCAGGAGACCCCATACCATTCCAGACAAAGGGCTGTCCAATCTCTTATTAAAAACTTCCAGTGTTGGAGCACCCACATCTGGAGGAAAAGCGTTCCACTCATTTTAATTGTTGTGTCAGGAAATTTCTCCTTAGTTTTAGATTGCTTCTCTCTTTATTTTCCATCTGTTACTACTTCTCCTGCCCTCAGGCGCACTTACGAAAGACTTAAGGAAACTGATTGAAGGTGAAAGAACTGAGATAGATGACAGACAGACAGACAGACAGACAGACAGAGAGCAACAGGCAATGCAAGGAGATGGAGAAGTTGAAGCAGTTTCAGCCCAGAGATGGAACTGAAGGGAGGAAGGGAGCCACATCTGCTCCTTGGGAGAGGACCTAAACGGACTGACTGGCAGAGCAGAGACCTCGCTCTGCTCCGGAGGTCCTTCTCTTCCAGACCCTGTAAGTTTTCCATTTGCAATTTGTGACCCGAAAGATGGGCTGTGAGAAAGGCAGAAGGAAGAAGCATGGAGGCTTCCGAATTGGGGTGCCAAAGAACATGGTGGAGAAGAGCCTCCAGCTCAAGAACAGGAACGCCTCCAACAGCAGAGGGAAGAGAAGCAGCTGCTCCCTGGAAGTCCAAGAAGGAGGGCCGGGTTTGGGGGTTCTGGGGAGGCATGGAGGGCAGACAGAGGGCAAGGCGCCTGGTTCCTCACCCAGGACTTGCCAGGAGCTCACAGGAACTTAGGCAGTGGGACTGAGAGACCATCCAGGAAGGGATCCCCTCTGACAGGTCACAAACACTTGGAAATAACCGAATTTGTTTCCCATGTGGAATTAATTTGCTTGTGTAAGAGAATTAATCCATCACAGGAACCTTGCCGTGCAGCCCAAAGGGATGTAACGGACGCAGGCTGCTGTTCTCCGGAATCAGCTGGGCCTGAGAACCAACAGCCCCTTTCTTTGGGGTTTCCTCTTTCCAGCTCAGATTTTTCTTTCCTGCATTTGCTCCCCAACTTTTCTGGAGGGAAAGGAAGCAGGCAGCTGCTCTGCCAGGCCAGATGGGGGGTCAAGAGGCAAAGTGGGAGGCTGGGTTGAACTGGGTGGCTTCCAGGCTGAGAGGCTCCTGCTGAAGGAGAAGGAGAGGAGGAGGAGGCCCCTGCCCCATTCCTGGGGAGGGGAGGGTGGGGAACATCCTTCCAGATGGGGTAAAAGCTGCCCCTGAAGAGAAAACCCGCAGAGAGGAGCCAGCGGGGGGTGGTGGTGGTGGTGGTGGTGGTGCAGCATGGCCTCATCCCACAGACAGACTTTGATTTCTCTTTGCAAAGAATCTTTTGGAAGCCTTTCTTTCCTTGCCCAAGAAGCGGGCGAGAAGGACAGCTTTCTCGTTTTCCCGCAGTTGGCATGTGTCCCTGGGAAGGAGAAGCAGGTGATAAGCGCATCACTTTCCTGCTTAACTCAAGCAGTTGATGTGGCTGTGCAACTTCACTCTTTGTGCATCGCCTTAAAAGCACAAATACGTGGCTGGTGTGACATGTTGCTGAGCGAATATTTTTGGGTCAACTTGCAGGTGCTCTGCAGGTTGAAGCGATGCCCCCCTCTTGCGGTTGGGGGGAAACTGACCCATTGTGAGGACCTGTCTAATGTGAGGACCCACCCCACTTTGCATCTTAAGAAGACAGAACTCTTGGAATAATTCTTCCAACAGGAATCCTTTATTAAGAGAAAATGGTTGCAGGCATGCTAGACAGGACTTGGGGTTCAAGCTCTCCCATTCAAGGTTTTAAGGGGTTCCCCAGTAGTCCCACCCAATCAACCCCCCTTCCAGTGATAGTTTCAAGTATCACAATTCCATCCCCTTTCTTCTTCCGTCTGGATGGAGACTTCAGATAACTACATGAAAGGCAATTACTCTTCTTTGATATGTTAAAGCTTAGAGGCCACAATAAACACACATTCAGTCCTTTGAAGTGTGCTGAAGGAAGTGAGGGCCATAAAGCCCCTTTGCTCTCCCCCTTTTCTCCCTCTTATGGCAGAATCCAGAGAAGGCAGAATTGGGAGTTTCTATGTTTGATAATTAAAGATGAAATATAATTGGATTCTGACACCCATCATGACTGAGCTGAAAGGATTTGGCTCCTCACTTGCTCTGGGTTGTGCTTGGGGGTATTTTCCTATCTGCCTTGTGAATTCAGGCCTCACAGTTTACTATTTGGCTTTCATCTGGCTACAACCCAGGCCACATTTACATAGATAATTGGGTTAATTATCCTTGCCCTGAAGGTGTCTGCTTTTCTCCATAATTTCGCAGTTTTCTAATGAATCTCTCTCGAGTTGTGCTGTTGACGGAGGAGACTTTTTCCTTGTGGAAATTAGGAAATGTTCACACTATTTCCTTTTCTTTGTTTTTGATCTTGGGCCTGTGCTTTCTTTGCATTTTTGTTTTGGGCTTCATCAAAAAAAGGGAAGAATATAGTGAAGATAAACAGCCCACAGGAGGTTGTGGTGTCTGGAGGCGCTCCCAGGGTGGAATGAAAGGCGGGTTGTGCACAATGGAGACAGGCATTTGTATGTGCACTAAGCACCGCAGTGGCTTTCTCACTAGGGGCCACCCATGGAAATAGCTCTGAAATTCTCTTCTCTTTGGAAAACCACTTAGAAAGTTTTCAAAATTAATTTTTAGAACTGGTTTTCAAAAATAGACTGGACAACCTTTTGACCGGGATGGTGTAAGGTCTCTTGCCTTGAGCAGGGGGTTGGACTACAGGGGGGGAGAGGCAACCTTGGCTCTTTTATGACTCGTGGACTTCTCAGGAATTCTGGGAATTGAAGTCCACGAGTCATAAAAGAGCCAAGGTTGCCTACCCCGGTCCCTTCTAGCCATAGATTCTGTGTTCCAAATGAAAATTACTTCAGGGTGCTGAAGGGCTCGCTACTGGCTGTAGGATCCCCCCTCCCACCAGAATGGCAGACTCCGAAAAGCTACATAGCCAAAGAAAGAAACAACAAAGATTATTAGGGGACTGGAGGCTACTGGAATTGGGCATGTCTAGGACGAGGGGGGACATGATAGCAGTGTTCCAATATCTCAGGGGCTGCCACAAAGAAGAGGGAGTCAAGCTATTCTCCAAGGCACCTGAAGGCAAAGAGAGAAGCAACCTAGAACTAAGAAGAAACAAAATTAACCAGTGGAACAACCTGCCTCCAGAAGTGGTGAATGCTCCAACACTGGAAGTTTTTAAGAGACTGGACAGCCATTTGTCTGAAATGGTATAGGGTTTTCTGCCTGAGCAGGGGGTTGGACTAGATGACCTCCAAGGTCCCTTCCAACTTTATTATTATTATTATTATTATTATTATTATTATTACTACTATTACTACTACTACTACTACTACTACTACTACTACTACTACTATTACATTGGGGGGAGGTATCTGACAAAATGGTTAGGAACAAAAAATGGGATTTTTTTTTTCTCGTGGCACATACTTCTGTGAAATAATCACCAATTAGAGCTAGCCAGCACTCCATACTGTACTGCCAAGGATCACAGATCGGGATGTGATTAGGGCAGTGTTTGTCAACCTTGGCTAATTGGACTTCTGGGAGTGTGGACTTCAACTCCCAGAATTCCCCAGCCAGCATAGCCAGCCCCCATTCCCCATGCTGGCTGGAGAATTCTGGGAGTTGAAGTCCACACAATGAAAAGGGGATGGGATTGAGAAACACCGGGTTAGGGTTTACCTAACCATGGTTAATTGTGATTAGCTGAGAGCAGAGGCTTCCTGACCTCCCTGCTCTGTTCCTTATTGGCCAGACAGGCCACAGTAGGAGGGCTGCTTTGACCAATCAGAGTTTGGAAGTGTCCTTGGCTGCTCCCTTCATTCTGCGGGGGCCTCTCTTTCTCTTCATCTCTTTTTCTTGGAAGAATGAAGAGGCAAAAACCTGTTTGTCCCATGCAGTTAAGTGGATCCATTTTAACTATTTTAGCCAGTTGTGGGTTGCATGTAACCCTCTTTCTCGTGATATATGAAAATCTTCGTTGCCCCAAGCTCCTTGCTTGGACTCCGAGCCAGTAGAGGGCTTCCTGGCACTCCTCCAGTGAGTATTGGGTATTGTAGTCCAGATTCTCTTTGCAGTAATCAAAACATACAGGTAGTTCTCAACATACAACCATTCGTTTAGCGACCGTTTGTAGTTATGTCACTGAAGTAAGTGGTTTACGACCAGTTTTTGCACTTATGACCGTCACAATCATGGTCAAAATCTAGATGCTTGGCAACCAGCAAGATTATTTATTTTGTATGGCAAGTATTTATGACCCTTGATGGCCTTCCCACAAGCAAAGTACTTAACGACCGTGTGATTCGTTTGGCAGCTGCAGTAATTTGCTTAACAACCACGTATCAAAGATCATGAAATCGGGCTCCACTTGTTTAGGGACCACCTTGCTTAGCAATGGAAATTTTAGTCCCGATTGTGGTCGTAAGCCGAGGACTCCTGTACCAGGCTTGCGTTACTGTGTTCTGTGAAGAACCAGGCAGCCATTTTCACCCCAAACCCGGCGGAATATTAGCAGCTGGGAGGGAAGCCGAGACGGTTTTCTTGGCCCTGGCTCCTCTCCCTCCAGGAGCCCAGAGTCGGGGGGGGGGGATCCCACGAGGGGGGATGGGGCCTTCGAGGTGCCTAGAATTCAAGGAACATCGGCCTGGGTAGCTAGTAAACTAACATGCATTTATCCAGGAGTTATAGAAGAAACCATTTTGGCTAATGCCCGGGCCAGCATGGTGGGGGCTGGAGTTTCCTCCGGGAGACGCTGCCTGGAAGAACATCTGGCTGCCAGCCGACATGGCGCGAGGCGGGTGAAGAATTAATGAGGTGCCTGCCGTGTCTTCCGGGGTGAGGAGGCCCCTTGTGGGAGGAGGAGGGCACCTCCCTGTCCTTCTGCTGGATGCCACATCTGGACAGGAGCCAGGTGATCCCCAGCCCGGATCCTCGGGATGATCTGGAAGGCAGAGGCTGGACCACTGCTGGAGGTAAAGCGTCGCCATGGCAACCCCAGGATGTTCCCTCAGCATAACTAGCAGGCGGTGGTGACAGGGATGGGCTCCTCGGACAACAACGGAGGGAGTTTCCTTCGCAGGGCTGTTGAGAGCCGGCTGGCTTCCCCCTCGCCCCCCCCCCCCGGGAGACGGCTGTGGCCACCCCTCCCGTCTCGTCCCCCCCCCATCCTATCAGCCCGGATCTGCATCCCACCCAGCTGCCAGGTACAGATTCTGTCTCTGCTTTTTAAATAGTTGCAATGAACAATGAAAGGAATTTGGCTGGTTGTGTTTTAGGACATGCGCTGGAGGCAGACAGAATTTTATTTTGTTGTTGTTGTTGTTGTTTTGAAGGGGTTTCCCAGCCATGAAATGTATCTTTGAGAGCACAAATGCGGGCTTTTTTGTTTGGGGGGGGGCATATCTGGAGCTTTGGAAATGAGTTACAATAGCCCGATGAGCAGGAATTCAAATGCACGTGTGTTTCTTTCCCACACCAGGGAGTTTCCCCACACATTAGTTTGGTTCTTAATTAAGACTGAGGCTCCTGTGTCTTTTGGGGATCGATCCTAGGTGGGTAGCCAGAGCTGAATCTGGAATGGCGGGGGGATAAAGGAAGAGGTGAGGAGCCACTGAATTTGGTAAAAATCCAGGGGGTGGGGTGGGATTGTGTGTGTGTGTTGCAAGACAGAGACGTTAATGAAATGCACTGATGCAACAGGGCGCCTCTCCCCAAATTCGGAGACGGGTATGAGGTCTTCTGCCTGATCTCCGCACCCTCCTCCCCTCTGAGAGCTGGAGACCAGAGGGGGAATTGTGGGGAAGGGGCAGCCCTGGCTGAGCCAGAGGCTTTGTCCAGTTGGGAATGGAGGAGTCCAGCTGTGCGGGGGGGGGGGGGGGAGAGGGCTGGCAGGGAAGGGCTGCCTTAATGTATGGAGAAGCCACTGTGCTTTGGGTTGGGGGGGCAAAGAGGCAGGGGAGGGGGGCTGGCCTAGAGGCAGACTGAAGTGGGCAGGGGCCATTAATAGGGTCCTGGGGTCAAGTGGTCAAGATCTTGAGCCCAAGTCAGATGATCAAGGGAGGGAGAGAGGGAAGAAGAAAGGAGAAAAGGAAGGAAGGAAGGAAGGAAGGAAGGGAAGAGATGAGGGAGGGAGGGAGGGAGGGAGGGAAGGAAGGAAGGAAGGAAGGGAAGAGATGAGGGAGGGAGGGAGGGAAGGAAGGAAGGAAGGAGGGAAAGAGATGAGGGAATGAGGGAGGGAGAGAGGGAAGAAGGAAAAATGGAAGGAAGGAAGGAAGGAAGGCAGGAAGGAAGGAAGGAAGGAAGGGAAGAGATGAGGGAATGAGGGAGGGAGGGAGGGAAGGAAGGAAGGAAGGAAGGAAGGAAGGAAGGAAGGAAGGAAGGAAGGAAGGAAGGAAGGAAGGAGGGAGGGAAAGAGATGAGGGAATGAGGAAGGGAAGGAAGGAAGACAGGTGGGTGGGTGTCCGTGAGGTCAGCAGTCAGTCCCTAGAGTTGCATCCATCCTTGATGCAGCTGCTGCTGGTCAGCCTTTGGCTGCCTCTGATCAGGGACTGTCTGGTGCTGCTCCTGGGGTTGAGATGGGAGGGCTGGAGAAATGAGGTCTGTCAGCAGCAGCTCCAGCCCCCCCCCCCCAAGACTTCCCCCTTCCTCTACTGTTGTGTGTGCCAGAAGAGGCAGTCTTTGCTTCCTCAATTTCATTTTTCAGTTTTGACAGTTTGAATTTTCGTCTGTCCCTTGTGCCGGCTCTCTCTCTGCATGCGTCGATCAGGAGATTTTCTTCTCGCCATGATTATATATATCTTAGGTATGTTACAAACAGCACATATATCAAAATGTCAATCACACAAAGCACTCTACAATACTAACCTTCCCCAGCCGGGCACTAACCAGAATGGCTGGACTACAAATCCCATCATGGAATGTCAGCAGTTGTGAGTGTGCAAAACGTCCCCTAGTGCTTTGGTATTTTCACTGCAATACTCAGATTTTTCAAATAACCTTTGCAGATTTTTTACCTTAAATGCCAGGCAGATTTATTCTTGTTTCGCACAATTTTATCCTTTACTCTCTTTTTTAAACCAGTTTTTCTAGCATCTGTCCCTCTAGTTAAAGCGTTTCTGCCCATCTTTCAGATAGCAGAAAACTTAACTGTTCAAAGTTACAACCACACTGGAAAAAGCCCTCCGACTTACAATTGCCACAGCGTCCCCAGAGTCGCGTGATCATCATTTGTGACCTTCCCACCCAGGAATGTTGCAGTGTTGGAATCTGGTATCGCTTAATAACTGCGGTGATTCACTTAACAACTATGGCAGGACTCGTAAAATGAGGCCTGACTCACTTAACGACCACCTTACTTAGCAACGGAAATTCTGTCCCAGCTTCCTCGCTTGTTCAGGATGGCTCCAAGCCGGCCTCCTCCAGGGGCCGAGAGGAGAGGGCAGCGGCTGCGGGCTGCTCTGAGCCGCTTCCTGGTCTGCACAGCATGCAGAGCGCTGCTAAAGCGGCTTTGGGTTATTGGAGGTCTTGTACCTGAAGACCCCAAGTCAGGAAAGGTGGGGTGTCTTGGCAGGCAGCGTGGAGTGTGAATGCAACCATTGTGTTTCACTAACCCAGGTTTTGGGGTTTTAATGTGGGGACACCTACAGGTAGACTTTGATTTACAGCCACAATTGAACAAACTTTCAGTTGCTAAGCAAGACAGGTGTTAAGTGAGTTTTGCCCCATTTTACGACCTATCTTGCCGCAGTTGTTGAGCAAATCACTGCAGTTGTTAAGTTAGTCACACAGTTGTTAAGTGAATCTGGCTTCCCCATGGACTTTGCTTGTCAAAAGGCTGCAAAAGGAGAATCACGTGACCCCGGGAGACACTGCGACCGTCATAAATGTGAGCTGGTTGCCAAGCCTCTGAATTTTGATCAGGTCATCACGGGGACGCTGCAACGGTTGTAAGTGTGAAAAACAGACACAAGTGCCTTTTTTCAGTGCTATTGTAACTTCGAATGGTCACTAAATGAACTGTTGTAAATTGAGGGCTGCCTGTACTGTTTCAGTAAACCCAGGTTTTGGAGACTAGCGTGTTGTGTGAACCCAGGTCCCATCAGCCACGTTGCCTGGAGGGCTGGTATTTGCAAAAACATCTCCAGGGTCCTGAAGTCAGAAGGCCGAAGCTGTGAAGGGATGGTCTGCTTTAATTCCCTCTGTTGTGGCAAAGTTCCAAGAGGCAACAATGGCTGCCTTTGTGTAGACGCCGTTTCTGAGCCAACGGCAAACAGCAGACTGTGAAATCTGCCTGGGATAACCTAGTTTCCTGCACTACCACAAGGAACTTTCTGTCTCTGTTCTGGGTCTCCTCAAAGCCCCCCCCCCAGGGCCCGGTGTTCCCTCTTGGGACAAGGCGCTCAGCCAGGCACATCCGTGTGGAGGGAAGCCGAGAGGGGCCGAGTGGATGGATCCACGCCAGAGCAAAATTTCTGCTGTCTTTCTTTCCCCTTTTCCCTTATTTCTCTCCCCCTCCCCACTTTCCCCTGGATGACCGGAATCTTTCCTATAACTTTTATTAAAGATTTTTTTCCAAAAGGAAGATTAAAAACTATGACAAACTAATATAAAATAAGAAAAGGAAAATCAAAGAAATCAAAGAGAAAGCTAAAAATGCAACAAAGGAAAAAATCACAAAGATCTTCTTCACAGCAGTTATAATCTTTTCTAATCACCAGAGCCATAAATTATAATTTCATTTTTTTTCTGTTTCTCCCTAAAATTCTGTAAGTGGTTGCCAGTCAGCAATAAACGTAGATGGCAAGTCCCCTTCTCTTCATTAGCCCCCCCCCATTGTGGATCAATGCTGAATCTTTCTATTTTCGTGCATACAATAATCTTGCTGCAGTAACCATGTATAGAAACAATCTTCCACAAATCTTCTCTAGATGACTATCCATAACTCCCACGAACAACAAAAATCTAGGGATTGCAAATTGGAATAGAGACAGTCCTCAATTTACGGTCATGCATTTAACAACAGTTTGGAGTTATATTGA